TGTAAAATCAATTTTGATGAAAAAAAATTAGTATAAAAGAACGAATATTAACCTAATGTTTAAAGTAATTCTTTAAAACGATCCTTTTACTTCAAGAGCATCACTTACTCGAATCAGTTGCTGTTGATAACACTCAGTAGTGACCGTTTTCTTAGATTGGAGCAGCTCATGGTAAACGCCATTTTGATCCCATCAAATACACAGTAATACCTTTTTATTGTGAATGTTTGGTTTTATAGTGCTGGTATCATACAGAACCAATTTTTCATCATACATAAGTGAATATTTTGTGTAAAAAGTCTTTTTTAATCTTGACAACAGGCACATATCCGTCTCTCCTTATTTTCAGGCGTTAGCACAACCTAACAACCCTCTTTTTGAATCCTACCAAGTTTCCACAAATGTTTCAAATTGGCTTACTGCAGATGCATTCGCAAGCTCTGACTGCGTTTGACACGGATTTTCATCCAAAAGCTGTTCCAATTCCTCATCTTCCACTTTTTTCGGTTGATCTGGGCGTTTTTCATTCTCCAAATTGAGATTGCCATCATGAAATCTTTAGAACCAATTTTTACATGTACTGTATGACACAGAGTTTTCGCCTAAAGCCGAGCAAATTATTTCTTGAGCTTCCGCGGCATTTTTCTTCAGCTGGAACGCGAAAAAAAGGCAATGTCTCAAATGCTGCTTTTCGAATGACATAGTTTTCGCTACTATTTTTTGAGATTAAATTCGCAGCACCGACACCTGTTATACCTTATTTTAAAGCTTAAAGATGACGCTTCAAAACGACTGTACAGCAAGAAAAAGATTCAAATGTGAATAAATGCTGTAGTTGTTTGAATATAGAGGGAGGACCGACAATATCTAATAGAAAAATAAATATAAAAAAGGATTGACAATTAGCGAATTTCTGCAACTTTCTGATGGTCACCCTGTAGATGTAAAATCGAGTAGCCACGTAGCCGGTCGCTTATCATTTTTGCTGTCACCGCTCGAATAGTTTTGATCAATCTGGCGGAACAAGCCGGTGAAACCGAACACGAGACAACCTCCTTATTAGTCCTTTCACCTGATGACCTGATTTTTCGTAGCACGCTCCGCCGTCAAGTGGTAGTTTAACAAGACGTTGGCACGTCTATATTAAGGTGGTTACCTACTAGAGTACTAAAAATATCTTATATCCGTTCAACAGGTGTTCAAGATAAGAGTGTCAACGTACTCACGAAGTAATCCGCGACGGATATAAATCGCAACGGAATGCTTTAGAATCAAGCCGCTTGCATTATTCTCGCGAATGTAAAACGATAGGTCACGCAATGGCGTTGATCGTTTTATCCAACACATAAGCCATAAAACGCCACGAAAGCACTTGTAAATTATTCTCATGTATTTCCGCCGCTGTTCTCAATGAAACAACATCATTAATTTTTTATGATTTACCGTGGCCAAATAGCTGTATTAAGAATCGCATTGACATTGTCAATTTGATTGACTTATGCTAATAGATAAATTTAATTCGAAGTTAATGTAATCCTGAAGCATGAATGTATATGCGATAGATTGTCTTAGGCTCGTATCGGCCTTGAATTGAAATTATAGTTATGCATCTCGGAAAAAATCGCTAATTATAATTGCTTTGTTCTGAGTCAACACAGGATATAACTGCTAATGCAATTGATTTTGTGATCTTACTATAGTAGTTTAGTTGAGTTTCTAAATCTGGAAAATTCAGATGCACAATTCAAGAGACTAATATAACAAATTATTTAAAGTATTCAGGTTTCGACTAATATATAATCAGATATTATTTCTTATTTATTGTGTGTTTACATTGTACGATTCTAATAAATTATTTATTATTGTTTACATGAGGGGGGGGGGAATGTTATGTAGAATATATTAGAGATGATGACAGCTCTCGTGCTATGGATCTAATGAAAATCATCGCGCAAAACATCAACTGACACATAGAACAGATGAAGAGAAAGGGAAACTTTTTATAATACATAAAAATATAAGGAAAAGAGAGAGAGAGAGAGAAGTTTCATGTCATTGTATGAATTCAATTGATTAGTCTACTTTTTATATGTGTAACATTTCAGAAATCAGTCTATAAAATCTTATCAAGAATCTTGATGTTATTCTAATTCAAATTCATGCGTTTCCAATATGTGTTCCGTGATTACTGAACGCTGTGTTGTATTCCATTTCGTTCATGTGATTCCTACGCTTATTTATTCTAGTCTTTAGAGTTCTGTTAATCTGGTCTGTGTAAAGCAATGTCCACGGTACTTGAACTCGGTCCGAGTTCTCAAACTGAGAAATGTATAGCCAATCAACTTGCTGTGTTTTCGTAAAAACTGCAAGTCGATTGGCTACTTATTTTATTGAGCTTAAGGCACATTTATTAGATATATTTGATTTTGTAAACTTAGATATACGTTAGTATCTGAAAATTTGATAGACGATTATCTTTAAGTAATAAATTATAATAAATTGTCGTAGTTTATTCAATTCCATATTTTAAGGATTAAAATCTCTATTTTTGAGAAAGGTCTTTTGAGTTTCTGTGAATTTAGTAATTTTTACATATAGAAAGTTACGATTCGAGTCGGATAAAGTGGGAAATTTTCTCCTCGTTTTGTGAGTCTGTCACGTGCCTAAAAAAACTTGCGAAAATTTTCGAATTTTTACTTCAACAAAACTGTTCTGTAATATCCAAAAACTCTTATAATTGATCTCTCTTTTCTTGATTTGTCAGCCCTACAAGTTATTAACTCGCGATCAACTAATACTTCTTTCCTCGAGGCTTTAGAAACTTTGTTTCTTCCGTGGATAGATTTTCACACGCGATGGGTAAATTAGCAGGATTCTTTGTTACTTCGTTACCACGAACCCAATGTTGAACTATTAGATCGGATTATATCTCGTATTTCTGCAAGTTCGCACATGCATACTTCCTTCACACACCAAGATTTGCACGAAAGATACCGCATCCCGATCTTATAATTGGTGGCGTGGGCGACACGCGTCGATTTTGGAAAGCGATAAGCGGAAATATATATTGAAGAAAAGGATTTTTTTCTGTCGTTTCTTCCTCTACAATTTTCTCTTTTAATGAATAACTATCCGCGAGAGATCGCGGAGAGTCCGCGACGGCAGCATCGGCAGATGTGCCTATACTCCTCGTTTCTCGCGACGCTCCACACAAAGGAGTGTCTATGTTTCTACTCTAGCTAATCCGCCTCGTGAAACTCGATATCTATCACGCATGACAACAACTTGTGTGTAGGGAGCTTATAAGTATTCCAAGTGCCGTTTGCGAGCCATTATGTCATCCTCTTATATCGAGCACGTTCCTGTACACAATACTCACGATTGGATGCTTGGTGTGACAAGCTCGACCTAATAATTGTTTATATGCGCATTTACTTTGCATATTACATTAAGAGTCCCGTTTTTTAATCCTTGACGAATTTTAATTATTATCGAACGATTATTCGTTGTGAACAATTTTTCTTTTTCTAGAAATACTATCTTCATTAATCACACAAAATTGTCGTAAACTTAATACCAGCTCTCTACTGTTGAGTTTATGATAATTTTGTCGCTATTTTTTTGTTATAGTAAAATAAAAAATATTTTTTACTAACGACAATCGTTCAACAATGACATCGTTAAGAATTATAGAATAGGATTCTAATATGTTCATACATATATATGTATATACTCGATGTAGATTAACTTCAATCTCGGTTTAACTTACGTACTTTTTATCTTTTTATAGTTCTAAGAATTTATTTTTTTTTATATAAAAATTAGAAAAAGAGGACATTAAGTTTAAATTAAAGTTGATCTATGTTGATAGAAATGGCTTAACAATAAATAAACATTTAAAAAAAAAAATGCTTTCAATATGTACGTAAATGCAATTAATTGAAGGAAACAAAATTAATTGAGTTAATTTAGGATCGAGTTGCATGAATTGTTCAATCGCATAATTTCTTTCGTGAAACATGAAATGATCCCAATTGGAATTCAGGAATCCCTTAATTTGTAACAAGTGATCGTAAACTTCCCACTACCCAGTGAGAAATGACAATGGAATCGACATCGAATTGATTCGACGTCGAAATCATCGAATTGACATCGATTCGATTTCATTGTCATTTCTCACTGGGTAAACACACGCTTATGAATTAGTATTATTATAAACGAGGAATCTTTGTAATTTTTATTTTTCTACAATTTCTGGTTGAACAAGATTTTCTGGACTTGCATTCTCATTTTACGTTTGTTATATAGCAAGTACACTGTTAAAAATCAATAGTGTAAAATTTAACCTAATGTGAGTCATCATTGCTCTTACTCATTAAAAACAATAGTTATTTATTTGGTACTATTGTACCAAATGAGTATACACTATATTTAGTGTAAAACTTAATTATTGTTTTAGTATAAAATAACATTAGTTCAAATTTTTTAATATAAAATAAAAAAAGATTTAGTAGAATCACAGTAGCGACTCACATTAAGTTAAATTTGACACTATTTATTTATTTATTTCATGTATAGATTTGACGGTAATATGATTTTCCTTGTTATTTTTAAAATTTATAAAAATATTTATTACAAATATAATAATAATAATGATATATATATCTTTCCATATTATATAATTATATGTATGTTAATAATTAGTAATTATATATTATTATAATTAATATAATGTCTATAATTACTTATAATAAATAATAATTATTAATGTATTTTATTAATATGTATACATTTGTTAGTCTACAATGAGAATGTATAACTTTATGATAATAAGTACAAATAAATTTGCGTGTCATAATAAATGCGCAAGTTGTAGACAGATAAAAGATTCAACTGATTCAAGATGTTCGTAATATTGCGTAATCTTGTAATCTTCGTTTGGCGATGAATATTCATTATAGGCCTATTTGTATTCTCATCGCACCTTGCTGTTTTTGCAGATTAAAACGGATGGCGATGTCATCATGCTGATCTCTTGCATTCTTTTAATCGGTGGTGGTCTCACATTCCTGATCAGCTTTTTTGGATGTTGTGGTGCTATGTTCGAGAATAGGGGTTTCCTCTTTACCGTAAGTTCGTTCTAATAAAACACAATTCGCTCGCAAGCAGTCTAATTTAAAATCACAGATCCACGAAATATCATGGATATATAAAGATTACAGATTTTCTCATATGTGTTTAATATCTTATAGAAATAGAAATATTATACGTTTTTAATTCTTATGCAAATAATTTTGAGTCAATAGTAAACGATAAATACCATTTTTATAATAAATTTTAAAATAATATTGCATCTTTTAATGTACAAACTTTAATACAAAACACTGGCAGCATTGTTGATTATAGTAGACATCGAGTAATCGATCAATTTAAAACAGTGCAAACGACATAAAATTTAATGCTGTTTAATTTTTAATAGATTTCTAATAGATAATATAACGTAATATTTTCTTCTTGACTTTCTTTTTCTCTCATTTATGATGTAATAACAAATACAGAAGTTTACGTTATTACAGGTATAATTGAGAGAAAAAATAAAAAAAAAAAATTTCATGTAATTAATTTAATTTAATTTAATTTACAGAAAGTGATAAATTGAAGAATAAATCAAATAAATTTTTTTGAAAATAATACACCGTTTTTGAGAAAATTAAATTTTGTACGAAGTTATCTTGTCGTATGTTCTCGAGTTATGTCTTTATCTAAAATCATTGCCTTTCTTTCAAATCGCACGCAGTATCGGGACGAAATTATACAAAAAAGCGAAAACATTTTCTGTGATTACAGTACGGCATTTTAACTTTGGTGGTTTTGATCCTGGAGTGTGTGGTAATTGGCCTCGCTTTTGGACTTAAAGGAGACGTGCGTATTTATAATTATCATATTTCACATTCTTGCGAATTCTAATTCCTTCCAGTGAACCAACGTCGAACACATAATCAATTATATATTTTTTAATATATATTTTTTAAAATAAAATTCACTTTGGTATAAATTTATGCAGGTCGAGAAAGGTACACAAGGCTTCTTGAAGCATACCATCACCAAGTATTATGCGACGTCTAACGATAAAATTGATACAGTGACAGCCGCATGGGATGGTATCATGAGTAAGGTAAAGTAATTAATTAATAATTACGCTAATATAATTTTTTTTCAACACGTTGATATGCGAATTAATAGTACATTAATCCTTCCGGATTTCATATATTCTGCATGTATAAACGCGATTAATTTTCCCGGTGATTTGCTAACTGCATGGCGTGGGTAATTTAAAATATAAGTGAAAGCTGGATATCAGGACGAGTTATCGGCACTTATACCACTTTGTAGTGAAATTGCATATTATAAACGCTTGTCAGAATTTTGTTTTAAAACGTCTTGATGAATTACCGAGATAATGGATAGGAAAACAGACAAATTATGGAGAAGCGTCACACATACGCACTCGCTCACCGCACACAATTTTCTTCCTTAAACTAGAGCCAAGAGAAAAAAATATCATTATTATAAACACGCTTAATTAAATTGTTAATTAAAAAAAAAAGATAATTTTTAACTAACATTTGTAAATACCTATATAATATCTCTTCTGTGTATCCGCTTTTCTTACGGGTCTGCGAAGACTTGTAAATGAAAAAAAAAATTTCACCGATCAAAAACGAGAAAGACAAAATATTCAATACTGATGGAAATATTTGCAGCTCCATTGTTGCGGTGTGGAAAGTTATCGAGACTTTAGCGAAAATAAGAACTGGACTGCAATGGTCGGAAAAATGGTTCCTGAGGCCTGCTGTATAAAAGAAAACGACTTTCTGAAGGATCCCTCATGTCCAATAAATCCCACTTCGTTTAATACGTATCAAGTGGTAAGTTGGATCTTATTTACATTACTTTAAGCTTTTTTTTATATTATTCTTTTTCATATTACGGTGTATATCTAGCACTCGAACCAAGCAGCATTCTAGACATAATTGTTTTGTACGAACATAGGTCGCACATGTGTCTGTTCACGCATAAAACACTTTCCTTTTAACAATTTTCTGAGCGTGACTCAATATTGGCATTGCGTGTTTCTATAGTTGATCCTGTCAAGGTTCATCAGAATTATATTTTCCAAAAAAATAAATATTATGTTTTTTTTTTGTTTAAATTTAGTTTAAAACATGTTTTTAATGTTCTATGTTTTAAACAAAAAGAATTGATAAAACAAAAAAAATTTTTTTTAACATATATTATTTATATTCTATATATTATAATTTCTTTAGATTACTTTTATTTCTATATGTAAATATATACACGCTATATAAGTTGCATTGTGCTCTCAGTTCATTGCCTCTAATCTTACATTTACTAATTTTTAAAATTGAGAGTCTATGAATATTTTATTAAATATCTTTTAACTTGTTATTTTGAGATAATTTTTCTTTTCCTTTTTTTTTTTAGGAAAGAGAAATTAATTTTGATTGATATGTTGTATAAAAATTGACGTACATGATTATTTGATTACATTCCTTATTTATAGGGTTGCTATAAGGCCATAATGACAGCCATAGAGGAGAACGCAGCGATAATAATCGGTGTAGCCACTACTTTGATCTTTATCGAGGTCTTGGGGATTGTTCTGGCGTTGTACCTAGCCTGCTGCTATTGGCGCCCACAACATGGTAGGCTCGGTGTTAAAGTCAATTACTAAATCTCGGTATTAAGCGCGCATAAGTAACTTACTTATTTCCGCTGAACGATTTCCTCGGTCGTTAGGGACGTCAGCTATTCTGTTCGTTTACGGTAAAATGTGACTATTTGACACTTTGCAGTTTATCGATGCGTAGAACCTTCTGGCAAGGAGTAACCTCGAGAGCAGAATGTGCTAAGCTTTCTGCCAGCAGTTCTTTTGAACGCAGTTTCTTTTTCTTTAAGAACTTTGCGAATATCTCGATTGTGTTTATATGTGTATATTTAATATACGTATATAACACATGATGTACGTACACATACATGCATATATGTATATATATATATACATATATATGTATGTACATGCTTTCGTATACTTTCCAATGCAACGGTGACGCAAGTTGAATCCGATGGCATCGTACCGCATCGTGCGCTTTGATCGCATCAGAACTATAACGTAACGAGAATCGAAGGATTACGGATCAAAAGCCATTTAACATTATATACTCGATTGACAGAACGACCACTGATCAAAATGGCTAATTACGATTGCTCTAATGAATATTGGTAAAACTCTTCGATCGCTCGTTAACGACGTATGAATTTCAACGGAAATCGCGTTGAGCGAAAAACGCATAAAGGATTATTCATGATCTTTGTCAATGCGAGAGCTTTAGAGTTGCATGTGCCAAATTATACCACGCGGTCAATTATGGAAATGTGAGTCACTCGTCAAGCGCTTCACCTCGGTTCTAAAGTGCCAATGTATCAAACGCATTCGCTTTCACTGATTGTGAGATTATTAACATGGATTACACATTCGTAGGGACACCGCGAGCAAATCGTTCAACGTTTTGACACATATAGAAATAATCCTTCTTTATTTAGCCTTTTTGGAAATAAAGGGGTTAAATGAACTAAAAAACCAATATGAACGTCATACGGATAAAAATATTTATAGATTCTTTTTATATTCCTCGTCCATCGTAATGTAACGCTCAATGTCCGTTTTTGAACGATCTGTTCTTATTGACACTTGTATTTCGATATTTTTCGTCATTGCTTTGCAACTTTTACTTAAAAAATGCTTTGAAATTTTGGTGAAATAATCAATAATGTACATATCGTACCGGAATACTCCTTAGCCGCGAACAACTTTGTTCTCGTACGAAGACGTGAAATGAGAGACAGCTAAATTTGCAATAATAACTTTAATTGTACATATATCTCAGTTACGATCACCCATCGGGAGACAGTTTGCTTTCCCTGAATTCTTAAACATTCGTTCGTTCATATAGTTATTTTTTCAACATTTTGCATTCTGTCTTGTTAATACAAACAAAAAATTCACATGAGATTTCCGCAATAGTTTTTATAAATGACTGAGGTCAATCCGTGGTGAAAGTGTTGTTGAGTGCAACACAATTTCACGTTCGGGTCCTCGACGACGAAATGAATGCCTCGTCGTGAATGCGAAGAAATTACGGTGTTACACACGCGCGTATCCACATCTCTGAATTGATCACAATCTATCCTATTAAAGTAGAACCTTTTTCTCAATTGGAAGACATTGACAAATGGACGTTCTTTTAGCTTGTGTAGACGTATCGTCAAGACAGGCCTGGTGAGGTGCTGAAGTAAGGATGATTTTGATGGGGTTTATTTTCAAGTAAGACGGAGGTGAAACTGTCAGTTGACAGTCGATCCCTTCCTTGCTGCTGCTTTATGCTGCAGCATCTATTATAGATCTATCATCCATTCTACTCTACAAACGTTCTTTCATGAATTTTATGAAGCATGGTAGCTTTGCTCTTCACCCTTGCATGGCCATGCTGTTGTATAATATTATTTAACGAAGGCAGAGTGTCAGATATATAACGGAAGCAAAAAGAGAGAGGCCCGATTGCATCGTTACATGAACGCAACCTGTAACAGATGCAGAGTGACTAATGTTGGTTTATTTTGAACTGCAGATTTTGCATGGGATAATAGATTATGGATCAGACGGTATCTTGTGATAATGAAAATTATAAGTGTGCATTAATCGTACGATCATTTATATAATCAAAAAAAGCTATTTTTATTATTTCACTATATAAAGCGTATCTTGCCAAGTGTGATGTTCCTCTAAATCACGACTGATTTTGAGTCATTTTTTCCTTAACAGAGAACCGAAATTTATTATAATTTTATAGTCTTTAAAATAAAAAAAACCTTCAAATTAACTTCAAATTAAAATTATTTTAAAACACAGTCTATTTGAAATTAACTTAAGAATATGATTTGCTGTCTATATTTGCAAAACACTCTCTTTTCATCTTTGATCTCGATCACATCTTTGTAAAGGAAAGATCGACTTAGAATTGATCAAAGAAAGTACAGTTCAAAGGAAGTACGTTTGGCAAGAGACACTTTGTATTAATGATGATAAATTATATATTAGATACATAGAGTGATTGAAAGAAATATGGGGAAAATATATAAAGTAGCATAATACATTAGACGTTTAAATATGTGCAATTGTTGTTTCATGTTTACAATTAATCTAAATGACGTTAATTATTATAATTAGACATTTTTCAAGTTCTGCATACAAAGATGTTTATCAATCGTTTACGAATTAGTTACGAAGCAATAACTATGATTGCTAATAGATGAGGCTAAAATTTTATAGAAAACGTATGAGTCGTTAATCAAAGCGTTCCATCTATAAATAATACGCATTTTCGTAATTCTATTAATATGAGTTTAACGTTAAGTATATATATATATGGATATAAAGATCTTTTTTTTTTTTCAAAATAATAAATTATATCAAATGTTACAAACATTTATATCAAATGTGTTTACCATACCAAATAAGTATGCAATTGGGCCTGTAAGTTTCATTTAAGCTTCAGCGTAATTTCATTTTATTTCATGGTGTTTATTCGTATCCGAACAATTATCGGCACGAGTTATTAAACACACATGGCAAAATTCTACTCGGAATTGTGGTACGCAAGTAACATAAACATTTAACTGTTTCTTTTCTCTCTTCTCATTATAGTAGCTTAGTCAGCAAATCTGTTATCTCAATGTTGCAAACGCTATACGGTACCTAACAAATGATACATCACAGAGAGACCGCGCAGGATGAGGTGTCTCATTCATATTTACATATGTAAAGAACAGAAAGAAATGCATTATGGTAAATGGGACAATGTACAATTTCGAGAAGAAATCCATATATCTTCGTAAGAAATCGATAATATGTATGTTAGTGTACTTTCAATGTTTAACATACACTACTGTATACGCAAATCTGTACGTATGCGCACCTAACACACGCGGAGGGCATGAGCCAAAAATTATCCAACAGTAACAAAAAAAATGTTCAGACTGAAAAAATTGAGAAACTAAATTATACGCACACTACAATGATTTGATGCGGATCTTACGAAACGAAGGTATCATTTCCTTAACAGGATACGTGTATATATTATATATATATATATATATATATACTTATATAGAGTATATTTTTGTAGAATTTCTGCGATATCTCGACGCGACATCGTAGAAGTGAAACGCGAAAGAAACTCCCGATTCTTTGTTCATTTCGAGGAGATCGAGAATAAACGAGGAATTAATATATTGCATTTTCGACAATATGATAGCGCGCGTAAGGTAAACGTATCGATTAGTAGACATCATAAACCAATTGTAATTGGACAAAGCGATGAAACGTTTCAAATATAACGCTTTTAATGATATGTACGATTCTAAATTAATTCGTTATTAAATTTTTATAAATGCATTTATTTAAAGTCGTACGTGTCATTAAAAGCTTAATATTTAAAATTTTGTATTACTTTGTCCAACGAATTGGATCATGTCCACTAAGTGTCTACTAAATAACTGATACATTTACTTTATATGGCACGCGTGCCGGATGTGTCGACTACAAAATGCCAAAAAATGATACACAAATGATCTTACGCGTTTTCTTCCGTACCTGAACTTTTCTGAATATATAACAACGAACTCCATATGGCATGAAAGTTTTTAGTTTACAATGTTTACATCGTAGCAATCTTACAAATTTTGCAGTGCAAAGGTAATAATATAGATATCCTAACATTGCTACCTGCTGCATTCCTGCGCAAATGTCGAAGCAACTTTGGATGCTTTCCATTTGGTAACACAAGTATTATTCTATCTTTGTTACTCTCTGAATGTTACGAAAGATAAAATTATGTTTGTGTCACTAAACGGGAAGCACTCTTTATTGTATTCTTGCAACATTGCTGCATTTCTGTGTTAACATTGCAACAATGTTGCAATTTTTCCGTGATGTTTTCGCGAGCCTTTCATGCTGTTTGGGTACAATGCGAATCTCTTGTTTGGAGGATCTACGCTGTTATTTGCAATCGTGGACCGCATGCGGTATTGTGTGTGCGATTATTCACTTGATGAGACGTTTTCGTTCGCCGTTCTTTCTCCGTGCTGGCGTGCGTGTACGTACACACGAATCGACGGTATATCTTAATGCGGACGGTAGTTTTTACAACGCTATTTAAATCGCTACTAATTATTCATGCCGCACATTCTAGACATTTTCGTTTCCAGTGTTAACTTGTTGGTGCTGCTGTTGACGAGGCATTAAGAGCATGGAACTGTTGAGTAGTGCCTCCTAGCACGTTGAGTCCTTAGTGCTCCTGTGCCTTGCTTGCTTGAAACTCTAGCTGCTAGCCCAAGCCTAGGCTAGCTAAGAAGTCGGCCGACAGAAATCAATTCTTTAACGCTTGAGTTGACGAAACGTTTCGAAAAAAGAAACGAAATATATATATATATATATATATATATAAGAAAAAGAAAATAAAAACATACTACATTGGCAGTGACGTAAAAAAATATATGGCGAAGTGTTACATGTTTCTTTTTCGAAGAGGAACTCATCAATCCTACATATATATTTTAATATGTATATAATACATATATGTAAGATTGAGATATATATATATATATATATATATTATATATCCCGCGTGTCGTGCATAACCGCAAGCGGTACACGCATTATATATATATATATATACATAAAACGATACGAAGTATCTCAAAACGTCAACTGTAAATTGCTAACATTTCATAGTTTCGTTAAGTGTTTGTTTTGTATTATGGAGGTACAAGCGTTTAAAATGATTCATAGGCGATATACTCTTACAGAAATTTAATACTGAAAGATTAATTATTTTTGGAGCACACTGAACAATTATGCTTTTAATATTTAAGATATTATAAGTAATGATCTTTTTAATAAGTCATTATCTTTCAGTATTAAATTATAGACCTCTGTAAAGATGACGAAATCCGACTCATCCAATGACGAATCTTTTCCTCTTTCCTTTTCCTCTTCCGGTTCTTGGTCATCCATTCACAAGTTAATGCAGATGAACGTGACAGTATATGTACATACAAGATATTATAATATTTTTCTAATGAGTTTTAGATGCTTGTACTCACAATTTTGAATACTCACGCGATGTTTCATCTCTCAACGGATACGTTTAACAAAATACTTGTGACAAGAATCCAATTTGTATTTTTGACATTCTTTTCGTATTATTGCAAATTTTTGTGAAAGTGCTTTTTATACATACACTTACTAAATAATTCTTGCACAAAGGTCATTGTTTCAGTAGCATTTAGAAGAATATACATATAAGTCAGACAGATATAACGCTACGAAATGCTAATGAACCGATTGCTCGAATTATTAAAGATGTACATTTATTTGCGAGAAGATGTCTCATTTGAAGAATTTCTTGGTCAGAAAGACGAGGAAGGTTTTTGTTTTTACGTAACATTCTATGATAAAAATTTCATACTTACGATGATTCTTCAACCTGATATATATGATATATATATACACACACACATACACACTTCTAGCTTTATATTTTTCTTAAATGTATCTATATATGTATATGTACCTGAGTAATTAAAAATTTGTCAGATATTTATATCGGATATGTAATTATCTGAGAAGTAGGAATGGCACGTCATTGCTGACAGCGTATATAGAAATCGGCAGAAGCATTTTACATAACGCATATACTTTGTGAGCAAGCCACGAAGTCAGAATGTTTATATTAAACGTTAATTTTCTTTTTCTTTATTCTTCTTCGATTGCCGTGTATGAAAATGTGCTGCACATCACTGTTTTCCAATAGAGGAAGTAATAATGAATCAAACCTCCTTTTACCTCTGATACAAGTATCGAAGTTATGTCAAAAGAGTATTTCATTTATACTTTATGATTCATATCACGCATAATTAATGACGAGCCATGATTATGCGTCGCCTGCATATATAAGAGCGATACAGAAATATCGCACAGGACTAATTGGAGGATTGAAATTCTCATTCACTTATTTAGCTAATAGTTCAAAAACTATAATATATAGTGAAACGCTTGTTTTTATATAATGTGCAGTTTAATTTAGAAATGAAGATCACGTTTTTTGCATGGAATATTATGCACTATGGGTATTTATATTTATTTTTAAGCGTTCGCATAGTGTATCCGTCAAATAGCTTAAAAATAATGTAAAGGTTCTTTTATTGCAATCTAATTCCTATGTGAAATATACCAATTCAGAAAAGAAATCGTTCTGTAAATTAATTCAGGAAAATATTATAGTTTTAAAACAATAACGTCTTCATTTCTTTTCTAACAGAAAATACGTGTGTATTTGACAACCAAGATTATTAAACTTTCGAATTAAATAGGGATAAATGTTGCAATATAAACTACCTGATTCTTACAACGCTGTCTAATATGTAGTATTCCATAATATTGAATGTGTAAATTTCAGAAAAGCTTAAAGTCAAGGGGAAAACAGTTTAAAAAACGAAAAGCCTAAGACATCAGTTTAGAAATCTCACGTAGAATTGTGGAAGTCGAGTCAAGATTAATGTGACATTTACATGTTTACTCTGAAATTGCGATAAAAATAATAATATAAATGCGCGTGTTGGTAGTCGTATGCTATGATATATGATAAATTTAGTTTCGCGTCAAATCAATATATTATGATGTATATCTACGCAAGTATCTTTTTGGTACTAAAGATACAAAGTATATATAGACTATTATGCAAAAATTATTTTTGAAAAACTATGTGAGATATTAAGATTACCAAAAAACAAAGAAGACAGGACACAAAAATACGGCCAAGAATGCATGATATTCACTTAGTTTAAGTTCAAAGTTTAAAATATTTAGTAACGTTTGGTTTCGTTTCGGTGCAATTAAGAATTATCATGTGAAATAGGTGTATCAAAATGTATTCAAATTTTATATACAGAGACTGATACCTGACCTAAAATGTATATATATATTTGAGATGCGATTATTGATATACAGTTGTATTCCAATACATTATATTATTAACAATGAGTACTGTACAATTGCATATATTAAGAATATAGTACGATTGATTTTTGTTAAGAGTATTATGTTTTTTGTAAAAAAAAAGAGAAGCTGTATACACAGAACCAAAATAAAAATTTTATATATATTATTCATAAATGCCAGATAAAATGTGTAATGAAAATTGTTTTCTTCTATCTATTCTTCCGTAATGTAGCAACATATCAAGAATCAGTCGTTTCGCAAAATCCATGCTCTAAGACAGTTGGATACAGGTACAAAATATTGAAATTTGATATAAATGTCGACAGCTTATTCATAACATATTGATATTTTATAACATAATGATTATCAATTTTTTAATTTTAATAATAAAAATCTTTTTTTCTTTCTCGCTCACAACATAATTTTATTTTATCTTTTAACATAACTTTCTTTCTCTAGAACATTGAGAAATTATAAACATTCGGTTTATAAACCGTTTGCGAGCAATTTTTGATTCTTGGCGAAGCATCCATCGGATCACTACTGATACATAATGTGTATTCTATCGATATCAATATGTTATACTCAGGTAATATCATTAACTGCGTTTATTTTATTATCTGAAGATGGCTCAATCAAGAAGCTATATGTCATAATGTAAATAATTTATTGTTATATATTTATCTCAATTTACATAATTATATTTTACATCTTGACTTTTACACTCAGAATTGTTTAATTGACTCTTATATCTTCTGAGAATATCTTTGTAGTGTTTTATCCATTTTTAAAACTGTGTAAGTAAATTCTGTACTTCATGGAAATTTTCAAAAGATAAAGAACAGTTGAATTAAAAGATGTGTTCCATTTTTACGCTCACACTGTAAGTGTAAGTTCATTCTTGTTGTTCAATATTAAACAAAGCAAATATTATAAGCACAAAGTGAAAGTGGTATTGTCTTTTTTGCAGAAGCAAAAAATTTAGTAGTTTCGATGTTTCTCTCTCTACATTGGTACTGTGCGTACAACTTATATGTACTACAATTCTAAAGATTTGTGCGAAAAAGTAGTTAAATATAATATAATAAAGACACGTCTTTAAGAGAGCGTACAACAAAACAATAGTTATATTGAATGTTATTCATTAAAGATAATTTTTCAAGCTTGCTAATTAATTCCGTACCAATTTTATATCAATTTTGTTAAAAATAAATATATGTAAATTAAATGGTATGACATCAATTGATGTCTGCACATTCACCTTCGACTCGTGACTTGTAATGTCAACTACTGTTAACAAATTTTCACGAAGTAATGGAATTTACTCATACAATTAAAAATTGATACTCCACTGTATAGTTTTAATGAGATAATTAAATGGTATGACATATTCATGCAGCTCTTGCATATCTAAAAAATGAAATACGCAGACTCATCTTAAATCTAAGAAATTTACTTATGAACATTTTTACATTTGTCTTTTTTATATGTCTACGATACCTTTTATTTGCAACATGAAATGTTATTTTATGTTCATATTAATATTAAACTTCTTGTATATACATGATAAAAAGATAATTGTTTCAGTAGATTTGTATTTTTGATTATACTTAGTAATTTTCAACAGAGATTATTTTACACGAAGAATGTAATAGAAATAATTGTTATTGACAAGTACAAGTAGTACAGCGGTAGTTTTTCGTTAAATTAAGTTACGCATTGAATGATTCTAATATAATTCTTATAATCTAATTCTTATATGATACAATTTATGTACATTTATTTTAGCATATTTACTTTAATGATAGAGCTTACTAATTGTAATATTAAAGTATAAAGCGTGTATCTACAATACCAAACTTACGTACGAGATTGTCACACATGAAACATATATATTCATAATATCCTTTTATCAGCTGTCCATTTTTCATTTTCGTTGAATTAAAAACGCAGCAAACACGACACAGTTTTCTCTCTCCTAAGATGCCCCATAAAATGTAAATCTTCTCATATTAGAATAGCGCAGCCGGATTACTCTTTCTTGCGAATTCTTTGAGTTAAAGTTTACATTTTTAATTCATCCACGTAGGATGACTCGATAGGCACAGGGGATTAGGAGAGTAAAGCAAGTCCTATTGAGGCGGGCCGCCCATCATGCCCATTGGTTGCATGCCTTGGATTCCATATGGTCCTGGTCCCTGTGGTGGACCTTGACCAGCAGCCATGGGCGAATGCATTTGCATCGCTGTGTTCTGAATTTGCTGTGCGGAAGCTACTTGAGTTCCCGCCGGGGACGACACAACCTATTATAAACAGATGTAATTAATTTGATATTTTTCTATTAAATTTTTGTACGAATGTTTTATTAGCGACATTCGTTGATATCTCAAATTATTAAACTTAACTATATCAGTCATATACGATTTATTATCACATTTTCCATGAATTTATGATTGTAAATAAGAAATAAAATTAGAATATTGCCATTAGTCTTACACTATATATTTTAAATATGTTCTTTTCAGCTAAACTTTTTACTTTTCTTATTTTTCTCAGAGAAAAAGAACAGACCAACGTCAACATGATAAAATTAATTAATTTCTATATCGTATAAAAGAGATGACGTAAAAAAGTTATTTGATTTTCGCTTCTAACATAATCTAATAGCTTTATGATTAACACACTTAAGTTTCTTCTAATTGAGATAATTACCTGTGATATAACCGGTGGTTCAGACGGTAATGTGAAATTAGCTAAAAGATCGCGTACAGCGGGGAACAGCGAGCACTCTGACTGATTCGCGCCGTACTCGGCGAATCTCTTCAGCTGCATAGACGCTGCCGCAATCGCCGTGGGAGGTGGAGTAAGATCTCTTCTGTCCGCTAGCTGCGTTATATTCGTATTGACATCATGCACAAACGGCAACACCAAGGACGGTGTCTCTCCTTGATATGATATACCTAGTCTTGTTATTTGCAACTACGAAACAAGTGTATAAGCTGAAGAATCGATTGAGAATAAACAAATCACATAAAGAACACAAATACTCACGAAAAATAGAATTTTACTCCTGCAAACGTGTACTCCCTCCGTACCAGGAGGCACGATTGGCCCCGCGGAAGGTGGAATACGCAAACACAACTGCACGGACCACTTCAGCTGCTGCTGCTGTACAAGACTAGGGACTAGATCCAGCTTCATTATTTGCACGAAATCCTTTAACACTTTGAAACGTACGTTAAGCATTCTACCGAAACCGGACAGTGTATTGTGTTTGTAAGGCGGGGCGGCTACCCGCGTATCGAAGAACTTCTCGATAATCTGCGAACAAAGCAATTTATTTCTTTTTAATTATTCATACCGAGAAAGTATAATCATGTCACATCACATTCATTTATTATTATTGATTTTAATGACATAATAAATAAATATATATATTTTATATAGCGCTCATATTGACCTATTTTTTTCTTATTTGAAGTTTACTTTATTTTCTTAAGTGACTTATGTCGCGTAGCTATACAAAGCGTCTGCTTCAATTACCTGTAACTCTTCTACGCTCCATTGATCTTTATACTCTGGAAGTGAAAGAACCTTGATGTGAAGAGATTGAAAATGTGTAGGATTTAATCCAACTCTGCATTGCAAGCTCTCAGATTTGAAATGTACCACACCGGGCTCTGCATTGATACCAGTTAACTATAACACAATTTGTGTGTGTATATGTGAAAAAATGTATTTTATTTTATTAAGAATACGAAAATTATATACGAGTTGTGCCCTGCAGAAAATACTTTAATCATGCTAGACAGACAAAACTTCAAACTTGTATACCCATGATAAATCAAATATAATAATTGTAAGTGATCAAATCTTTTTGTATGAACTCTAAAAACGTTACGAATTATTAAAGTATGTGTCTAGCACGATGATAAAAATCGATTCAAAATCTCGAACGGAGAAAGAATTGACCAATCGCATTGATACGACTGAATTATTCAATATGATTGTTAACCCTTTCTCTGTCGGAGATTTCAAAGCGACTTCTTGCATTATAGCTCTAATACAATAATAATGTACAAGACTTTAAAAAATCTACTGTAACTGTACTGTATTATAATTAAAAAAAAAAAACCGACTTTTTGCATTATTGCAAAGTTCACTTACGCAATCTTCCGTTTGGATAAAGCGTTGTAACTGTCTCCGCATATAGACGCAGCCTAGAAATCTTTCAAGCGGCGACATATCTGGACCCGGTAAGGCAGACGGATGATTCGATGGGCAGCAAAGCATTTCTAGAGCCTCGTGCGTGAGAAGAGTTGGCACGGCACCTGCCCAGGACCTCTGTGGTAAAACCCTGGAGATGTGACTACCGGTCTTATGATCAGAGGCTTGTGGGCTATGCAGCGCTGCGTGACCCGGGCTTTGTCCAGGTCTCGCGGGAGAAGGTCTCGGTACACTGGGAGATCCAGGCCAGTTAGAGGCAGCCGGGGAAGCCATACTTTGAGAAGCTGGAAAAGGACTACCATCGATATGACCTGAAAATTTACGTATCATTGTTAACATTGTAAAGATAGTTTTAGCTCGCGTTAATTATTTGATTCAATATTCCTGATGTTAATAACTTTAACTAAAAATTATCATCATTTTTAGTTTGCATTTGTCTGTTTTTTCAAACATTAAAAGTGTAAAGACTTTTGGTGAAGATAAAGAGATAAAGACCCAGTTATTAGTTCATCAAAAACAAAAGCGGTAAATCTGAACAGAAAAAAGTTAGATACGCACGTGCACTCGCCGCATCATGTACGCATAACTGAGGGATTGATGATAATTTACTAATCGACGTGAGTGGCTGAAGCATTTCGTTAAATATATGAATAATTTATGCTAAATTCGTATATCTTATTCAAATGAACTTCTACATGATTCTTTATTGTGCGCATTGATGCAGTTTTTATTAAGAGGTCTGTTCTTGCATCAGTTCAGACAGTGCAAGAATAAAGAACAGGCCTTCTAAAATATAAAGATGGAAAAATTGATTTCTTGTCACGCATACCTGTTTGCATAAATGAACCAGCAGGAGAATGCCCTACTTGAACATTACTGCAAGGACCAGGCGATGATGTTGGCATAAGACCAGCCGGACTAGGAACGTGCATCGGATTTAAAGGACTGTTTGCAACGAGTCCGGATCCAGGAGACGGATGTGGTAACATATTAGGTGTATTTGGCGGCAACGACGGCGGAGAAGCTAAATTAAATGAAGTTGCAGGACTGCTCCCGAAACTTTGATGTTGATTTGCCTAAAAAAGTTTGAAATTAATCGAATATCTTATTAAGGCGCTAGTCTACTAATTTTGAGAAAAATATTCCATTATAATAGAAACGAGAACTAGAAAAATAAATCCTAAGGTAACACGCACAAAGTAATAAATAAAACGCTTCTCTAGAGGACAAAAATCTGAAAAGAAGAATAATTTATTATCTTAGTTAGATATATGTATTTAGAACTTACCTGGGATATATTTGCCGTATGAGGACTGGCTGGAGTGTGAGGATTACTACCAGATGGAGGTGTGAGCGGTGGATGAAATCTCAGACCTTCGCGCTGCTGAGCGGGCGATTGAGGCCCACTTCTATGATGACCTAAGAAGCTTACATTGCCTCCAGCACCATCACTGTCCATAGTAACAGGCGACGGTGGATTATCATCCTCCGACTGAGACCTTCTTCTATATACTGCGTTCTCGTCGACATATTTTGACAAAAATGCCTATGATGACAAACATGATTATTACGAACAAACTCTTTGAGCATTTAATTACTGAGTCTTGGTTTTCGGATATCTTACTTTTAGACCCTGCGTAGGAGTAAACTCATCGACGACGTTACTTCTGTCAAAACGACTATAAGCACCGTCGCGTAAGCTCACCAAACCACCGCCGCGCAAACGCAATTCCAAACAATACATTCCTTGATACGCTATCCTTACTAAAGTGACACATTGTGGCATTATAGTAAACGTTTGTACCGGCACTCGTGGTCTCTGTAGAGAGGAATTTAGCCGTAAATCTGAACCGAAAAAAGGCAGAAACGCGCGTGCACTTACCGCATGCACGCATAACTGAGGGATTGATGGTAATTTACTAATCGAAGTGAGTGGCTGAAGCGTTTCATTAAGTATATGAATAATTTGTGCCAAATTCGTGTATCTATTCAAATGAGCTTCTAGTTGTTCCTTCATTAGAGAATGCGCATTGGTCACCGTATTTGTTGGACCTATGATACAAGCAAAACTTTCGTTATTACATAATTTCCATCGATTGAACGTTCGAGATTGATATCGGAAAACTTACTCCTACCAAATACCATCTTAAATGCTTTGTCGTTCGTACTCCACTGTATAGTGACAGTTGCACCTTGATTTGGACCATACGCAAGAACTAGCTTGCTATAACTATAAGACTTAATGCTAACCATGTTGCGTAAGTTATATTTTTCTGGAATAAAAAAACAATATGGCGAATTATATAGAATTTATGTAATACACGATATGCAATTCATTTTTTTCAATGCAATGTGTAACGCACCTATTTTGAAATATTCAGCTAAGTCATGAACTATCAAATACAAATGCACTATCTGTGCCCAATCGTTTAGCAAAACATCTACAGTGCGAGAGACGATATCGGCTGTACCCATTTCATATTGAAAGTAGACTGGCCTACGCAAACCTATCAAATACAAAAATTAAACTTAATATCTGATATTAATGAAGCAGAGAGGACAACATATATTTTATTTGCTCACGAGAGCATATCTGATTTTACTTAGAATTAACGTGTGCAATATCGTAATTAAAGTAAGACTTTTACATATCGCTCCATAATGCATAAGATATACATACAAAAATAAATCAATTAGAATCTTTCATTTTGAAGAATCCTTCACTATGATTGATCAATTCCTTTATGCCTTATGTGTTAAGCAGCGTTATGCAAAGGTTTGTGCTACAGCCTTATACTATAAATTAAAATAGAAATACATTCTTGTACGTTATGTGTATATATACATATACATAAATACATATACTTACATTTTTGAAAATTTAACAATAAAAAAGTAAAAGACGCATTAATAAAATTGTAATAATACCTCATTGTTAAATTCCTAACTTTATACTGTAAAGTTATGAAAAATACACGCGTTAATGGACAAGAAGAACTCTAGTATAAAGAAACAGTATCAATACCTTGTTCTTTGGGATGACTACTAGAGAGAGGACTACCATAAAATACAAATTCCACCGTCCAAGTTTTAGCCATTCCTTTACCCTGAACTCTAATCGAGACACTCAAAAGTCTTTTGAGAAGAGCGTGCCAAGCACTGCTCGTAGCTATACTCGGTGATGGTGCAGGCAATTGAACAAGTTTGAGTACCAATGCCGTAGCGTTAGCCTCGACTTGGAGTCCCTGATGGGCTATCTCCCGTCTAGTAAGCTGCGTATTAATATTAAATTAAGACAACTTGTAATACGGAAGAATTCATTATTGATATACATGATATTTCAAACGTATTTTGCTAAATGACGCGCTATATGCAAAAACCAACGAAAGTAAAATCTTACTTCTTGAGCCAGAGTTACGAACGGTATTCGTTCATCGCATAAAGCGACAACGTGCGCCAATTCCGGAATAAAATAAGCCGGATGCTTTGGTCTTCTATTCTGTGGTGTTCCTGCCGTGTCTGTCCTTCCTCCAACCCCAGTGCTTCTACGTTTGTTGTTAGACGTCTCCACCACTTCTGTAATGCACCCCCCATCTTGATCATTATTCCCTAAAAAATCCACCCGTTAATCCCCCTAAAAGTAACAGAGCAGTATGCCGATACCACACTGAATGATGCCAGATGTTAATTACTATCCGTACACTGTATTACATTGGTAACGAGCAAATAAGAATATTAGTAAGAGTTAGTAAGAAAATTAATATTAACATTCTCACACACAGGCAGGATAGATTAGATTATATGTATTTAATTTTTGAAAGCATTGCGTAACATATAATTACAATTAATTAACACAGCTCGATAACACAGTTAATTATAAACAGTGCTGGGCATGTATCTAATATTTTTGTTTGAAAAATAATAGGATTTAGAAAATAGGTTTAGAAAACAATTGTATTTTGTATTTCAAATACTAAGATTGACAATCAATATTATTATTTGCATTACAAAATACAAAAAAAAACTTTAAATCTTTCTATTTTAAATACAAAATAAGTAATATTTTCATTTTACACCAATTATTTGCAAGTATATTTTGTATTTCATGTGCTCCATTGAAATACAAAATATACTTGCAAATAATTTGTTTTAAATAAAAGTATTTTAAATGCCCAGCCCTGTTTATAAAGATAGTTATCTATATATTATATATTAATTACATATTAGTACGAATTCTATTTTATTTTCGCAAGCCAAGTGTTTCTCTTTTTCTATCGAAAACAAAAAATGCAGAAGATATTCAGGGTGTGTGTGTCGCGCGCGCGTATTATGATTACATTAATCTGATTTTAATCAATTGAAGAAAAACCCGAAGTTCGCTAAAAGACCTGTTATTGACACATACTTAAGTGAAACTCTCATACATATAGTATAACGTATATCTATCATTGGTATTAGTTGAGAAAAAAGTAAAAGTGTTAATAAAGAAATTGTTACACATACACACGCGCGCGCGCGTGTGAAGATTAAGATAATAGTCCTAAATTGCATTACAAACTACAATTACATAATACAGCATATATCAGGTTTATTCGCATTGCATGCTCGAACATACTCCAACATGCTTCTATCACAACTGTTACTCACTCCAACAAGCGCGTTAGAGTGAAACAATTTAGTGATAAACAGTGATAATATCGTTATTATCTTTAATCTTATCTTATTATTTTTAATTATTGAGTCTATCTAATAATTATCTAGAATAAGGAAGTCTGTAGTATTATATAAGGATAGAAAAAAAAGATGACACAATGTAATTATAAAAAATTAAATAAAACAAACGAAATACGTGACTTAATAAACAATAGATATTGATACATAATTTCTCATACTTAACCTTATATCAAAATATAATTTAAAATTTGTATATATCTACTCACCACTATCGACACTTGTAAATGGACCATGAGTAATCACAAAAGTATCAAACTCAATAAGGCTTTGGACTTTCAAATACATTTTCGGTATTTCCGTTTCTATGCTATCATCGTGTGGATCATCTTCGATGGAACTATGCTTCACTACAGCAAGATAGAAAGAGCACTCTATTTCACATGGTGAGCTTTCTTTCTCTTTGAATGCGACAATCTAGAATAAAGTATATGTAGATATACAAGTCTGTGTGTGTGTGTGTGTGTGTGTGTGTGTGTGTGTGTGTGTGTGTGTGTGTGTGTGTGTGTGTGTGTGTG